AAATGGATAATTATGCTAATACATAGAAAAGAATTTTTTTTTAAAAAAAAGAAACCTTACCTGTAGTTGCCTAGGCTTCTTCAGCTTTAACTTCCCAGACTTATACCCATTGCATTTTTCAAAAAGATCAAAAAACCTTTAAAGAAATAGAGATTGACTAATTTATTTCACAATATAAGCAAATATACATTCTAGCATTAGCTAGTGATAATGGCACAAATATCAACTTCCCATGAATTGATTGATAGAACTGGTATTCGTTTCATTAAAAAAAAAACCACAGGTATTTGCTGAATATTATCTCATACCAGAATTTGGATTACCTGAAAATTCAGTGAGGTTTATATTTACAAATTTTTTAAGAAAAGTTCATTTTTTATGTAAAAAACTTATTTATTTATTTATTTATTTATTTAATTAATTATTACAATGTATATGGAAGTCCATCTCATGATGACAACTTTTAACCATAATGAAACACAGTGTTACAACATAGTAAGCACATAATCCAGCAGCCACATTCTGATCCCCATTCCCAATAATATAGCCAACTCTTCAAGGCTTATAAAAAGTAAACAGGCTTAGGGTTAATCTATGCCAAATCTGGGGGAAGATATGCCAAAGTGTGTGAGCCATCACAGAAAAGGGTCTTTACCTGGATCCCACCAGATGTAACACTTTAAAATGGAGTCACAGCATGCCTCTTCAATCAGATTTGATAGGAAAGATAAACACAAATGGTGATAGGTGGTCCTCCAAATAACCTATCCCACACTTTGAACTTGATAGATAACTACCACCACCCTTATGTGAACCTGGAAGCAAAATGGTAACCAACAAAACTCATAGAACAAAAGTGTACCAGTCAAGGAGCACATATAACTACAAATGAAGATGAATATACGTGTCCCAGGATTCAATCTGGATCCATCACCGGGATCAGAGATTTTGTCTTCTGATCTTGCTGGAGTCCATTGAGAGTGATCCAGATTGAATCCAACACATAATTGCCCACACTGCATTATGAACCAACAGAGTTTCCAGATGCTCTTCAAGAGCAGTTCAAAGTAAAGTGCCTTGCAGTAGTCTATTTGGGAGACAACTATGGTATGCATCACTGTGAGCAAAACATCTCAGTCCAATAAGGATTACAGGCTGTGCATAATATAAAGCTGAATAAAAGCTCTCCTGTCTGCAGCTGCCACCTATTCCTCAAACAGGAAACCCAGAAAGACACCTAAATTGCATTACATCTGTTTGGGGGTACTGCGATACCTTCCAGAATTAAAGATGGAAAACAAGAGCCAGTCAGTGTGCTTCGTTGAGTTGAAGCTTGTCCTTCCTCATCCAGATCACATCGTTTCCAAACATGGTTTCAAACATGAATCTCCAGGGTACTGTTTGGTCAGCATAGGTAGAGATAACTGATGTGATACATATAACTGCATAACTGATGATACCCATGCCATCAGGTGACCTTAACCAGTAGTTTCATGTAGATGTTAAAAGGAGCAATCTGACCATGACAGAAGAGCAATAAAAGTCTCCCCCAACTCTAGTTCATGTTGCTACTGCTTCATCAAGGAATTCACAGCAGATGTGCGACCACTGCCATGAATTGG